ATTGCGCTAAACTGAAGCATGTCCTAGTTTGCCTCTAGGGAAATCCCCAATGAGCATACATATCTTTAGGCTCCTAAGGCCAGTTTTTGAAATCTGTTACACTTAGCTTGAAAACATGTTATTCTCCTCTCTCTCTGCTATTTAAGGCAGGGATGCCTTTGCCATTAGGCCCTGGTTGGCTAATCTGGGTATTGCATCAGGATATTGTTGCTGAAGTGGTGGCCTTCTGGGATCCAGGGTTGTTTTCCTGGCTGGTCCAGTTTATTTTTATTCTCTTCTCTTCTCTTGAGTATTGCAGCTAGCCTTTTGGGAAGCAAAGATGGTACTATGAGAGCAAAAAGTGGGATGAAGAGCTTTTGGCCTCTACTTTGCCAGCCACTTGTTGAAGGTAATTGGGAAAGTTCACCCATGACTCAGACGGTAGTTGAGCATTTGGCTCAGTCAATAATGAATCTTGTTTCCCATCAAATGTAACTGCAGCATTTCCACCAGAGCATCCAGAGATGCTGTGATTTGTTGCCGGTGATCGGTATCACAAAGAAATGGGGAGATGCGCTGAGTCCTGCAGAGATAGAGCTGGATGATATTCTGAAAAATAACCTTGTAATAGATTTGGGGGTTTTGAAGGTTCTTTTTTTTAATATTAGGTCAGGTTGTATTTTTAGGTCAGACAGGCAGAAAAAGGAAGATTGATATTTTGGTTTGTCAGGATCCACATCCCATCTTGTTGTTCTGCAGCTTGTTTTTCATAGAGAACGGTCAACAAGGAGGAGTTAGCATTTGTTAACCACCTGAATGATAAAGTTAAGCACCTTTATAGATTTTATTATTGCTTTCAGAGAGCATGTACTAGTGTTAAGTAAATAGAGATATTATACCCCTAAACTTGCTATTTATTCGGTATTTGTTGCCTTAATTTGGGTTAAGCCTTGGAGAAACAGCAAAGATTAGTGCATCCTTGAATAGCAAAAGCCAGTTTTCTTAGTTATGCTACCTACTATCATACTTAATATTTGCATCTCAGCCTACATTTAAGGAACTTAAATTTCAATGTATGGTTTCCACCATATTTGTTTTGCAGGTCAATCTGTGTCAATCTTCCAGAGATTTAGTCTTCCAAGCTTTTGGACTCCTGTGGGAGCCCATCCTTGGGGAACTTCTCCCTATCAGAATATGAATATGACCCTGAGGATGGGCTCCAGCATGAGTACGACAGCTTGGAAGATTAAGGCTCTGGTTCCAGTGATCAACCCAGATTGGATCCTGCAACATAAGCTTGTGGCTAAAATAAAGTTGGATAGTTTGAGGTTGAACATATTGTGAGATCCCAGTTAGAGTCTCAGTAAGTGTAAACCAAGCCATCAGGTTAAGCTGTGATACATTTTATTTATTTGGGCACAGTTATACATTGATAAATGTGTTTAGCTTAGGAGATAGGATAGCGATAATAGAGTGGTTCAGGTTCACCTTCTGAGCTTCATAGCAGATGATAAATTCAAACTTGGCTTGAAGTGCTTTCTCCAGTGTTATTTCCACTGTACTGCATTGATTTTCTCTAGTGTTCTTGTCAACATTGCCTTGGCCTTTCCTTTCATAGCAAGTTGAATAGTGAAATACCATGGTAAACAGCTTGTCTGATACTCCAAGGTCCTTCTGTTTTTTTGAATTCACTGGCAGCTTTTGTGACAGAACTGTCAGCCTATATTGTGTTGCAAACCTTTTCATTCTCTTTGCAATGGGCACACAAGAAGAACTGAAAACTCAATACTTCCAAATACATGTGTATTGTGATTCCTGTTATGTAGCATTTGTTATGGGCCATATTTCCACTAACAATTACGTCTGCTTAACAAAGCACTTTGAATAGTAAAGCAAGAAAGAAAGAGAAATAATTCTCTTGGACATCCACATAATGCCCCTATGGCTTATACAGAAATCTCCTACCTGTTTTCATTTTTAAAATTCTTTTGAATAACAGCATCATTATCATCCGAAATTAGTAGAGGTGTACATAAAAAAACTTTTCAAACCAATCATTTTATTCTGAAGGAAATTATTTTGAATTGGTAGTGGTTGGATGTAACATAATTCAAAGTAAATTGCGTGTTCCATGTTTGGTTTAAATAAAATTTGTAAGAGTTTGAAGTGTTTCAGCAATGGAGAGCTTTCTGATATGTTAGGAGGGGAGGCGATCGAGGGAAGGGGATGAGGGAATTAAATGCTGCGGTCTAATTAAGATACAGTTTGTAAGATACAGTTATTATAACCTATCTCAATAAAGTATGGCTTCCTATTGATTTTCTGGCCTGCTCTACCTAGTGGGGTTGACAACCAGGACTCTCTTGGCCAGAAAAACAACATCTGAACTGCAAGTGGCAAGACAGCTTCCAATGACATCACTAAACCAGAATGGTTTCACTCTCAAAACATTTCCCACCTACAAAAAAATTCAAGTTGGTTGTGTCTGAAACAAAATACCGTACATTATTTTGAATTAGAAAGAAACCATTTATGCGTGGTTCGCTTCATGCATGAATCACTAGAAGGAGAGTGCTCCAAGAAGTTCATGTTCAAACCATTTTGCATATCTCTAGATATCAGTGTCTGGCAAAGCAAGGTTCCAGACTCAGACGTAATCTGATCTATAAGCTATTTTTTTAATTATTTCTGGCATTGCCTTTAGCACCCATACAAGAACATAAAATGGTGACTGCATCCAGGGCTTTGAAGTATAGCTATATATCCATGAAATAGATAAGGTAAACTGAGCCCTAGAGATGTTTATGGAAATTCTCAATCATCCAAGTCATGGTTGTCCCAAAGGTGTTTTTTTCAGGCCTAGAGAGCTTTCTGAATCTTGAGAGACCTGTAGGATGGTAAGGAACAACCTACAGATGTGTGCTTTATGATTGGATATCTGTAGAAGAGAGACATTCTTAGGGTGCTGTTAACATGCTCTTAAAATTTCTTGAACCCCTACTACTGCCCCCAAATTGAGGGCTCTGCCCAGGAATGTTATTAGGCTATAAGATGTTCTTCCATTTCTAATATATCCTTTCCATGATAATGTGCAAAGCTGAGTATTAGTACTTTTTTCCACTGATGGGATGGGAGGAGCAGTAGTGTTAGTATTTGTGATTTTCTAATCTAGACACATGTAAATATCACAGAAGTAAAACCTAACTCAAAGCAGAATTTTGTAAATAACTGTACCTAACAATGATGGCTTAGGTTAACATGAGCGCAACCGTAACATTTTATAAGCTGTATTTTGAATCATTAAATGGTCTTGTTATCTATAAGCAGAAATGTTATGAATCAGACATTTTTGTGGTCTGGGTATAATGGTTATATAAACTGGAGTAATTGGAGACAGATCACTTTACTGCACTTTCAGTGCAGTAAGAAAGCGCATGATTCAGAATTCTGAAAGGCTTTGACAAAAGAACAAAAATAGTAAGGGAAGAAGAAGCTGAGTTAGTAGAATGAATGCCAGGAGTTGGAAACCACAAATCTTGAGAGCATCCAGGTGAGGAAGAGTAGAATACCAAAATAACAGGCTGGAGAATCTTCATTAGTTGAAGTAGGATGATAGCAAGGAGAAGCTTTTAGGGAGAGCATTTCCAAATGTAGATCAGTCCTTAACCAACGATGTCATTTGAATAACAACTTTCCTTTATTGATTTTTTTTATTTTTATTTTTAAACAAACAATTCATCATTAATCAATCAGTGTAACATCTGGGTACAATTTTTTTATCATCATTTTCTTAGTACATATTAATCTTTCCTCTTACATTTAAATTTAATGTATTACAACATATTTTCCCATATTTCTTATTTTTACATTGCCTTTTGTCTATATTCAGTCTCTATCCATTGATAAAATTGCCCCCATATGTTGTAATACTCCAATTTTTCCTTCCCTCTAATTGCTAATGTTAATCTACTCATTTCTGCACATTCTAATATTTTCTTAATTAGCTCTCCCTCTGTAGGAATTTTTTCTGCTTTCCAATTTTGTGCAAATACCATTCTTGCTGCCATTATTACATGTATAATCAAATATATATTTGAATATACAGCTTTCCTTTATGAATGTTTACTTATAATGCATACCTTTTTAAAGTGGTTAATGCTATCATATTCACATTAAAGTGTAATTTTATTTCAGAGCTAACCATAGTAAACTAGAACTGCGCTTCCCCCCAAAAAAGACCTAACCTAAAAATAAGCCCTAAATTGTTTTTTACACGTGCACCCAATATAAGCCCTACCCCCAAAATAAGCCCTAATTAAGACCCCACCCACTGCGAGGTGCACAGGGTGGGACAAGGGGCATGGGTAAAAATTAAGCTAGGGTGGGGATGGGGGTGGGTAGAGCTGCCCTACTACTTACCTTCGGACAGTTGCAGCCAGGCCTCGCACATCCCGACACCTGCCTTGCTACCCCACTTCTTCTGCGGCCGACAAAGCTTTCCTGAAGGCCTCTGCAGCCGATAATAGAGGTCCAGATCAATCCAGACCTCTGTTATCAGTTGCAGAGGCCTTCAGGAAAGCCTTGCCGGCCTTGCCAACGACAGAAGTCCATGAAGGCCTCTGACAGCAAAAAGAAGGCTGGGGGTGATGCACACAAGTGAGGTGAGTAAGTGGAAGACATCCCCCAAAATAAGACCTGGTGCCTAGTGGTGGGTTGCTCCCGGTTCTGTCCAGTTTTATGGAACCGGTAGTAAAACTGGCAGGAGGCTCTGCCCATCCACCACGACATCATCGATGATCTGCATATGCGCAGAAGCGCATGCGTTCCCGCTGCGAACCGGTAGTAAAGGTAAGTGGAACCCATCCCTGCTGGCATTTTTTTTGGTGGAAAAAAAATGAGACTGTGTCTTATTTTCAGGGAAACAAGTTCTGTAAATTAGATTGGTGTTAATGCTCACACCATTGCTATCAGTCATGAAACAAATATGTAAAACCTGTTTTTTAAATCTTTCTCTCTCACAGGACTGCCCACAGATCCTTCCAAGCACCCAGATCTATATCCCTGTTGGTGTAGTGAAGCCTATCACTTTAACTGCCAAAAACCTGCCACAGCCACAGTCTGGACAGCGCAATTACGAATGCATCTTTCATATCCCTGGGAACCCTTCCCGTGTCACTGCCCTGCGTTTCAACAGTACCAGCATCCAGTGTCAGAATACCTCGGTGAGTCCATAGCCCAGAACTGTCTTTTGAAAAACGTATTTTGGCCTTGGTTATAGAGGAAGACTGAGATGTGTAGAAAAATATGTAACCATCTCAACCTGTAAAATATTTGAAGTCTTCTCATGTCTTGCAATTATGCATTAATTATATCTATAGACTGTATGTTCCTGCATATGTTCCTTACATAGTATCAGGAAGGATGTATTTGTGTTCTTTGCTCATTTTGCCTAATTAATGTTGACTTTTTTTAGTGGGTTGGTGTCTTCCCTTTTTTTTTAATGGAAAATGTAGTTATTGAGCTTCATCCAGGTTCTTCTCTTAAGATTTAGCATTCTAGTCTCATTCATTTTGTTGTTGTGTTGTTCTTGTGTTGAGAGGAAATATTAGGTATGTTCACCACCTTGGGTTACTTATAAAGTAATAAAGGCAGGCTAAAAATTAAATAAAAAATAAATTCATTCACAGGTGTGTGTGTGAGGGGGTAGGAGAAGATATTTTGCCCCTTGTGTCCATATTGTCCTATCCCCAAATACTTCCTGGATGAGAAACCAAATGTTTTTAATTAGGTCAGGTTAGTATTCTCACGTGAGATTACTTAATTGCTATGAGTGCTCTTTTGACAGAAAAAAATAATAACAAAGGCAGCAGCAGGTGTTGTTATTGTTTCAAGAAGTTCCACATCCCTCATAGTACCAGAGTGTTGGATGAATAGTCTTAAGGGACCTCTGATCATAAAGACCGGTAAATTTAATGTGCTAATCTGTAGAGACATACCATTTCTTGGCTAGCTTTCTGGGCTATCTTCTAATCATCAGGCCTTTATTTAAGACTCTGTTCTTCTGAATAGACCATATTGGCTCAGGGGAGTGTAGTTAAATTAGCAGGACAATAGAATAATATTGATAGGAAATTCTAGATGAGTCTAGAGGCACCCGATCAGACCATCAAAGAATTGTATGTGTAACTGGTGTCAGTAAGTAAACTATTACTTCTCTTCATTTTTCAGGCTGCATAGAGACATCCAGTGAACTATCCAGTGAACTGTTCCATTATAACAAAGTTTGGTGAAATAGCCTTTAAGAATAAATTTATATAGCCTGCTCCTTATATTTTTCTAGTTCTTCTCAAAGGGGAAAGTTCAGAACACAGAACTTCTTGTGATTGTCTATTTTACGCTATATTCTTTCCCCATAGCTGAGATTTATAGCCTACAACTCTCCACAACTTTGAGTATAATCCCCAAATTGCTGATGAATTATAATTTTAATATGTTATGAAAAGTAGACTTGATTAAGTATACTGTATGGGGAGAAATCAGATTAGATGTGATTAATTTCAGTTACATTAAGAAATTTAATTTTATTCTGGACCCATGTTTAGAAGTGTCATCTCTGTTATGTCATTCGAAAATGAAATGCCACCCTCAGCTCAAAAAAATTTGTCTCTGATTGTTTCGATATACATGAAACTACTGGCAGACTTTACTTGAGTTTTGGAATTTGATGCCCCAAGTCTTATTTCCTTTCCAACTAAATCCAAAGAAGCTGTTCCAGGTTCTAAATTACTGTCATAATATTAGACAGAATAGAACAGATGATTGAAACACAAATTGAAGCTTAATCTAAATGGAGACACTGTCAATCAGTTGAAATTCAGATCAGAAAATAAGGATGGAATCTGTATTGGTTGAACTTGCTGTATACAGTAACTGTCTTGGGCACTCTAATTCTGGAGATCTGGGATTTTCGCTCCAGGTGTTACAATCTAGAGTAGATCCTCCCTGTCCACTTAATTGAAATAACATCTGCAGGAGAGAAACTGTGTTGTTTTTTTGGGGTGAGCCAATATCCTGGTGAGAGTAATAGTAAGGCAAGAATGTATTTGAACAGCTAAGGCTAACGTACCTCAAATCAACTACCCATATTTTTCGGACTATAAGACACTTCCCCCCACCCAAAAAAGTGGATGGAAATGTCTGTGTGTCTTATAGAGCTAATGTTGCCAAAGCCTTGCTCAGCTGCTGGCCTCTACCCTTCGGCCTCAGCCTCAGCTGACCAGGCTGTTTGCTGTTTGCTGCAAGGAGGCAAATTGCTGGGAGGCAGAGGCAGAGGCAGATGTTTTTTTGTTTTCCTCCCCAAAAGCTAGGTCTGGAGCGTCTTATAGTCCCAAAAATACGGTATATTTCCGAAGAGGGCAGATGTTAACTAGAAAAACTATAAAGCATAATGTATATGTATGTGATTAGACAGCATCAACCAAATCTTGTAAACTAGATAGGAAACTGTTAAGAGAATGTTTTCTATTGAATCTCTGGCATGGTTGCTGTTTGTACGGCCTACAAACCTCCAGGACTTCCATCCTAGCAGAGTTGCAGAGAAGGGCTACATTTTTGTATGTGTGCAAATGAGTCAGGTCAGGCAGTAAATGATTTACCGTACTTTTTGGAGTATAAGATGCACTTTCCCCCCCCTAAAAGAGGGTGGAAATGTTGGTGCGTCTTATACACTGAATACAGCCAGTTTTGGCCTCCTGAAACCCCAACCTGCGCGTCCCATTTTTGCCAAAAACAGGCCCGTTTTTTGCAAAAACAGGGCCTGTAGAGGGTTTGGGAGGCCAAAAACAGGCCCGTTTTTCACAAAAACGGGATGTGTAGAGGGTTTGGGAGGCCTGCAGAGTGCTCCTGGGGGCCAGGGAAGGAAAACACTTTTTTCCTTTGTTTACCTCTTCGAAATCTTGATGTGTCTTATACTCTGGTGCGTCTTATAGTCTGAAAAATATGGGTATTCAAAAATTAGATTGAATGTTCTTTGTAGGTAAAATCGTATTTTGTTGGGTTTGTGTATTCCTTCTTTCCTTTTTCAGTGACACTTCTTCCTGCCTGCCTGCTAGTCATTTCTCTGGATACTGGTTGTTTCTGCTGCCGTTAACAGCAGGATACTAGTCATGTTTACTGTGAGAGAAACAAACAAGGCTTCTTCTCTTTTCCAAGAAACCTTGTGGGAGTATTGGGAATGTGTACATTCATGTGGATGCAATGCATAACCTCAAACCAAATATTTATTTATTCATTGATTCTGCAATTCATATGGGGGGAGGTTATTTGTATGACAGTTGAGAAAACCTATATTAGTACATGTACACTGAAGATCATGATGATAGGGAGTGGACAGTAGATGACACAGCAGACAAGTTTTCTTTTTGAGGTAACAAACACCAGAAAAGCTAGCTAAAATAGGCAAGCAGCATAAAGGAGAAAGAATGCTAAACTGTAAACAATACAACATAATAATCCTCAGGTACTCTGTGAAAAAGAGTAATGTTAAAGTAATACATGCAAAATCAAGGTAATTCTTGCTTAATGACTGCCCTGTTTAGCAACCATTTGAAGTTCTGACAGCCACTGAAAAAAATTAAAATGTCCCAAACGACAAGCTGTTGGCTGCAGGTGTTTGGTGCCTTAACAAAGAAGGCACTCCTGCCTCTCTGCTCCAACCTATATTTTTAAGTTATTATTATTTTTGCAATTTTAATCTGTTTTTATATTTATAATTGTTTGGATATTTCTTATCCCACTCTAGGCTGCTAAGAGTTGCCTAGTACAGTGGTGGGTTGCTCCCGGTTCGGCCTGGTTCGGGTGAGCCGGTACTGGTGATGATGTGACGTCAGTGAACTGGTTCTCTATGACTGTGAGCTGGGCCCTCCTGCCCACCCCCACGTTATACCTACCTATATTTGTCATTTTTTTAGCCCAGCTGATAGGCGTAACAGAGTGGATTGCTGCGCTTCAGCTGGGCAGAAATCTAATGCGCTTATGCGTGCGTGCAAAGCGAGAACCAATGATAACACTGGTTGGAACCCACCTCTGGCCTAGTACCATGAGATGGGCAGCAAATAAATAAACCTTACTATATAAACCAATGAACTCATTTTATCAAAACCATTATAAAGAAGAAAATACACACTTCTCACACACATAATTAATTTTAACAGCAAAATAACTTTACAACTAATCCTCACACTTATGACTATTACTCTATCCTTTTATTCATGTGATTGAAGTTTGCCATTCACATGCCTCATAGATGACTTGCAATGAACAAGGTCAATGAAGAAGTCAGTGGTAAAATCACAAGTCATGGTCATGACTTGTTTTGCTTAATAGCTCTGGGTTATTCATTTAATGGCCATGGCAGAATGAAGTTGTAAGTCTGTTACAGTTATGTGATAGGCACTGCTTAGTGACAGAATTTGCCAGACCCAATTTTTGTTGTTAAGCGAGGTCTACCTGTGGTTGATTTTAATCAGTTAACATATTTTGGAAATAATAATTCCAGAGATTCCAGTTTCAGAGAAATAATTCCTATATAATCAGAAGTGGGTGAAGAACCTCTAGTGGTGTCTATCTCTTTTCTCCTCTTTGCTTTATATTGCATGGCTGTGGATTCTTGCATCTCCATAATTCATCCTTGAGGCAGAATGTATATAGGTAATATTAATACACATTTAGAAATTTATCTTAGATGTTTTGGAAAACCTTAATCTGTGACACAAAAAAGAGCAGGCAGTAAAAATGGAGCATGCACTGTTTTAGGATTTAAGGGAATATTCATGATGGATGATGAAGAGCAGTATTTGTCAGCCTTGCCAGGTTTAAGATGGGTGAACTTCAATGCCCAGAATGCCCCAGTCAACATGGCTGGCTGGGGAATTCTGGAAGTTGAAGTCCACCCATCTTAAATTTGGCGAGGTTGAGAAACACTGACATAGAGGATGAGAGAGAGAGCACTCATCTAGTTTATGAGGGACAGATTATTCCTTGGTCACTGACAGTTGCACTGTATACAATACAGCTTTGCTACTTTCCTAATCATTAGTTCAGAGATAGTTCTTTAGAGGTCAACCATAGCTATTTCCTTAGCAGGAGGCCTGTTAACTGCTCTGTCTCCAAGTTCTGTCAGTGAAACATATACATAGTCTTATCACATTCAGCTTGAAATCAG